GAAAATCTGGTATTTATTTATCAGCAGGAGCAGATTGAGAAGACATACGGTGGTGTTAGAATACAATAATTTTTGTTTTCTGTTGACTTTTGATTTTCTACATAAAAGTGATAAGTAATTAAAATGCGGAGTTCGGGCAAAAATACAACGGCTGGGAGTCCACATACTTCTGACCATAGACTCTCCCAAACAGAAGGAGTGGCCAAGAAATGAAGGTAGAAGCAATGGAAGGAGAAGTTGGGGAAGAAGTGGTGATGGAAGACATGGATCATGCAAAGTTAAATAATAAGGCTGTCAAACTAAAGAAGAGGGTTTTGGGAAAAAACAGGACCGAATGTGCCGTTGAACCTTCGGGTTCTGCTGCCAGAGAGTCAGTTAATTAGTAAAATGGATCTTAGGGAAACAGGTTGTGAGGATGGGAGGTGGATGAAACTGGCTCAGAATCCTGTTCAGTAGTGGACGTTGGTATTAGCGGCGTTGAACCTTCAGGTTCTGCTACAAGAGAGTCAGTTCATTGTACACGGACAATATAGCTGCGAGCTGGACACGAACTGCGGTCGGTATTGTGATAACCTGTAACTGATTCTAAGATCATTTAAAGAAGGTGATTCGGCCGCGATGGTTACAGTTTAACTTCAAAGGAGGCAAAGGTTAAGTTGTCCCTGTGCTTAACTACTTAAGCACTACGCCATGAAAACGTATGGGGAAGTTAATGTATAGATCCATGTATTCTTGATCTCGGCACTAGTTGGAGGTGAGTGGTTAGCTTCACGGCCTGGCCACTTTATCCCCTACTGGATAGAAGGTGGTGGGGGTCCCAGAACTGAACCTCAAATGAGAGGAGAATTTAATCATGGGATTCAGTAGGTAAGGATTCGGTGATGACCTATTTAAAGGTAGCCCACCTGTTGTCCTGTTGTGGGATTTTTCTGGAGGGACTACAGAAAAGCTTGAAATAATAGCAGTGATGATAATCCATTCCTCATCCCTGTCTCCATGCTTGTACATTAACGCTGAGCCAGCCTACCAGACAATACAGTGACACAGATCTGCTGAGTATACCGCGATCCATAACTAGCCTTGCCCCGAATATTTCGTGATTGAAACACGACGTTATCAAGTTTGCTATCCGAAGACCGAATTTATTTCGCAAATTGAACGTTCCTTTTTCAGCCAAATTCGGCCAGATTCATTGTCCCCATATAGACATTATCTGGTCTGTGGCTTGGAGACCTCTACACTCAATGTACGCCTCCGGCACTTGACGAGCCAGGAATCAGGACAACTGCATGGAGTTCTTAAGAACTTACTCAACCAGAGCAAAGAAGATCAGTAACTTTCCTACTCTAACTGGCATTTGTTTACTGTTCTATCCATTCATGAACTGAGCCGTACCGTTGGATTTACAGGTTCGAAGAATAGATAGACAAAAACACAGCTTCATTATTGATTTCTTGAAAGTAGGTAAAGTCGTGCACCTATGGGTTAATGTTTAGTCCACCCGCCTGACTAAAATACACGTAAAGTTGCCAATCGAGACATGGTCGACGTGAAAAACAATCGAGTTATATAGATTTTTTTCCGTTGCACAGCAACAGAACTGTCAGGGTAGGAGGTTAAGTACGAGGGGTTAGAAACTGACATATAAGTTCTTTATTGTGGAAAAAATTATTGTAAATCAAAAAGGCATAGGCAATGCATATCCGGCCTTATGTAGCACATTCTTATAAACATCTTATTCTATTATGGCGGTCTCCCCGCGATTCTTAATATAGATCATAACTTAAATCTGAGAGTATACTGCTAACAATCAGTACAATTACTTTTTTTACTTTTCTCACATATCTATTTTATATAAATATAGGAATGCTGTTTATGAAGGAACAGATGCCTTTTAGAAATCTTTTTTCTTCTAGCGTTATGAGCTCTAAAACTGGCTTTGGGCATTCTTTTTGCTGTTCTCAGACAAGATATCCATCAGTGTTGCCTGTTGGTCCTCGTACTGTTTACAGTTCCAGAAGATATGTTCCTCCGTTTGCAGCCCATCATCACATTCACATTCTGCCAAAAGACACAATCCTGAGCCAGTTCAATCCATCCTCACATCCTGCTTCCCTTAGATCCATCTTACTAATTAACTGACTCTCTGGTAGCAGAACCCGAAGGTTCAATGCCACTAATACCAAACCTCCGCCACTGGACACGATCCTGAGCCAGTTCCATCCACCTCCCATCCTCACAACCCATTTCACTAAGATCCATGTTACTAATTAACTAACTCTCTGGCAGCAGAACCCGAAGGTTCAACACCGCTAATACCAAAGCCCGCCTCTGGACAGGATCCTGAGCCAGTTCCATCCACCTCCCATCCTCACAACCCATTTCCCTAAGATCCATCTTACTAATTAACTGACTCTGGTAGCAGAACCCGAAGGTCCAACACCGCTAATACCAAGGTCCGCCATTGGACACTATCCTGAGTCAGTTCAGTGACCTCCAAAGTATTTTTTTTCCATGGAGTTTAGTGGCGTATTTTAGCATCAAGACTATATAGCGTCGGATAGCAGGTCGGCTGGTGAATGATGAACTGAAAAGGATTGGGAAAGAAGCGATCGAGGCCCAATTGAGGTTCTATCCCAGCATTTACCTCGAAGGACTGAGGAAAACCAAGAAAACATCACTGAGGAAGCAGGTGCCCCGGCCGAGATTCTAACCAAATATCTCCTGAATAAAAGTCTAGACGGTTACCTCTGAACCAATCTTCAGGGTAAAGTTGTCCCTGTTCTTAATTTATAAAGCACCAAGCCATGAAGGCGTATGGGGGAATGGATATATATCTCCGCCATTCTTGGCCTCGGCATTAGATGAAGGTGAGTGGTTAACTTCACGCCCCGGTGGATTTACCCCCGTACCCATTAGACAGGAGGCCGAGTGGGCCCCAGAAACGGTCTGGATGATGTGGAGATGAGAAAAATCGTACCCCCACCAGAACTCAAAACTCCGACACCTCGGCCGTCCAGCCCCTGGCCAGTGGCCATACCGACTGCGCTGTTGTGATGCAAGGCACAGCGACTGGTCACTCGAGTTCAGTGTCAGGCCGCGGCCCGGTAAATTCTTTCTGTAAGACGAGGGCCGGGTGATTGAGAAACACTGCTCTAGTTGAAGAGCGCTCATGCACTTCGAAATTAACACTGGACATTACAGTTTAGAAGAAACAAGATATAAGGATTCAATTCTGATACAGAAACCTGGTGCAAGGTGCCCACCGGGAAGACCTAGACGAAAGCATAAGTGTGATATTAGAGCGGATGTTTGTAACTCTGCTGAGGGGATATTAATTCGCTCAAGGCCGTGTCCGACACCGTGGGTTTGCGAAGACGTGTTGAACCTTCGATAAGTGGCGTGGGCGTTGCAGTGTTTAGACTAGGAAATAGCAATGCCTTGTACATACAACGAACACACTTTATACCATCCTCAAGGGACAGTAGTAAATCGAACCCACATACCTCTCGGCTGTCCGTCTGTCTTATGTTACGACCGACGGCCAGTCGGACAGTCTGTCATGGAATAACGCGGCCATCTGGCGCTTACGACCAGATTTTTATTATTGTCAGACCGTTGCGGGGTTGCTGATGATGGGCGCTCTCTGTGACAAGTTGACGGGTCTGTTGTTTTCAATTGCTTCTGGTCCTCGCCAGCGCAGTCATTTTCTGATCCGAGTCCCGTGGGACTTGCGACAATATTTTACTGTCTCAGATTTGAGACTTCCCTTTTCGTCGCCTCCTACGACTCGCAGGGCTACGATGGAGGTATTCGGCCCCGCCTCCACACAGGATTACCTCTCGGCGGATCTGAGTATCCTTGAAATAATTGGATGCAAATGGGTTCAAGCGAGGCCACTAGTACATAGATAATATTGTGATGCGATTACTGACACTGTGTCCGTCGAGTGGTACGGGCTTGATAAACAAGCAAGCAATCGTTAGGCAACGGCCGGTAAACAATTTAACAATATCCGCTCCACTGCTAGGCAATATCCGTAACAATAATAGAATTCACTGTTGTATGTGGTGTTTTCTATGCCATCCGAGCCGAGGTTACATAGGGAGAACTAAAGCTGAAGGCGACTTAACCACGTGTGGAAGCGGGATCGAATACCTCCACCGTGACCCTGCGAGTTGTAGGAGGCGACGAAAAGGGAAGTCTCAAATCTGAGACAGTAAAATATTGTCGCAAGTCCCACGGGACTCGGATCAGAAAATGACTGCGCTGGTGAGGACCAGCAGCAATTGTAAACGACAGACCCGTCGTCTCATCAGAGAGAGCGCTCCACATCAACAAACTCGCAACTGTCGGACAGTAATAAAAATGTCGTCATAAGCCCGAGATGGGTGCTTTACTTCCCAGACAAACTGGCCGATTGACCGTCGGTCGTAACATAGACTCAGACTCAAGAAGACATAACCGATCTTAGAAAACAATTATTATTAACTTCAGTAATATGTATAAGGGGTGGAACTTCTCGGCCCTTGCACCGCGACCTACAGTGGTCTATTGTGCTTTAACTTAAGTAATAACTATGAAGTACTTTTTACATTAAATTCCATGTTTGTAATGTAATGTGTCGTTTTAATATTACAATTAATCCACAAGTTTTTTATCGGCAAATTTTTGGAACTCTGTGAAGCCAACGCTCCCACTAGACACACGTGCAACTAACCTGTTTCGCGTTTGCATTTCATATTTTAAAAACAAAAATTTAAACTAATGACATAACGCTTATGAACATACCACGAAATATTAATTACGTTAAAGAGACCTTTCAGGCTGATTATAACACAGAGATAAGATGTTTTCTTGCAACATTACTGCATACTGCGGCATAGGTGTGTTCATTTTTCTTTCACGCTGATATTCATCGACCCATCACTCACGTGACACGCCGAGACCTGCGTGCATTCCGCTCCGGCGAGATTCCTGTTGTCTCAGTCTGTCATTTGTCGTGCCCATAACAGGAGGCGATCCGCTGCGCGTTGCGATATTCATTTTTTTACAGCAAGCTCGCTAGGTGAGCACTGTGTGTCAAGGATGTTAATTAGACGTGACTCAAAGGTAAGATGAACTCATTCCACGGGTCCGAGGAAAACAGTGAGCATTGTTTATATTGTTTAATGATGCACTCTCCCATACCCGTTCATGAAATACAGCAAATAATTCTTAATAAGAACAGATTCCTTCTGCAGTTCAGGGAAAGTAGAGAAATTATATACACAGGATAAGATTTCGGGGATGCTGATCCATTTCTGGACATGATATCCATTAACAGGTCTAACGTTCCATTAGGAACCAGGATAACTCAGTCAGTGTAGTGACGAAGGTACGGGCTGGACGACCGAGAAATCGCAAGTCGGGATTATATTACTCAGTAATATAATCCCGACTGACAGTGAGAAATTAAAAATTAAAAAAGTTTCTAATATCGTAATGCTAGCACCAAATTTACTGAAGACCTGTCGATTCATTAAAAATTGATATGCAGAATATTCTCACGCGCTTAATGAGGCCATCGAGCGCGTCTGTATACTGGTAACGCCTTTGATTTGTGTTCGGGAGGTGCTCGGTTCAAATCTCGTCTGAGACGCAGGCTTACCTCACGTGAGGATTTCCGTGGGTTATCTAAGTCGCTCCGGGAGAGTAAGCCTGTAACTCCAAGACCGTTTCCTTGCCAATTATCATCCAGCGGTCATCCTACCATTCGACGCTACGAAGTGTAGACAGCAACCGCATCGTAAAATAAACCACAAAATGATGCCACAATTTTGTCTTTCCTTTTAAAATAAGGGAAATACGCTAAAAATTAAACCTGATTTCTTTGTCCTAACACTACTGTCTGTAGCGCACAGACCCGTTCCTAAGCACTGACCTTGTAAACAGTGGTCGTTGTTAGGTAAGGCCGGCAACATACACTCACGCGACAGCAGATAGCGGTGTTTTCTATGTGGTCCGCGCAGCGGTCGTTCTTATGTAACGGCGCGATAAACGCACCTCTACAACAACAGAGGGGCTGTTTTCTGCGTGGTCCCTGCCGAAAAATTCTCTTGAAGACAACTGGCGCTACAGCTCAGTTGTGGGATATTCACCAAGTGTTTGTTACGTGCCATTTGATCAAGAAAAAAGCGTGACGCTCACAGTAGCAATACAGATATTCAATAAAAGGAACATGAAAGGAAGAACACGCTTGGAAGACCTAAGTGCACAGGGTATGACAATATTAAAGAGCACCTTAACCCTTTCGCCGTGTACTATTTTCTCACCGTTTTTCTAAAATAATGCAATTTTAATGTAAAAATATTAAGAAAAATACTTTACTTACTAAATCATTCCTCTTATACCTTACGGTGTCGAGGTGTTTTCTTTTTCGTTATGATCATTTTACAGACGGCAGGACTCCTTGGACGGGTGATCAGCTCGTCGTAAGGCCTCTGCCTAAACACAGGACAACACAAACACAGAATAAATACATATACATACCAAATATCCATGCATTGTGTGGGATTCGAACCCATGATTCCGCCTTCGGGGCGAGTGAAGACAGTTCAGTTAGACCGCTCGGCTACCGTGACCTGTTGAAGAAAAATAAGACAACAAAAATACACTTTCATAGCCCACTGAATTAAGACAAATGACGCAACAGAAGAGATGATTATTTCTTCGTGTGGACTATATGAGGTTGAATATTGCAAGGGATGCTTATTCGACTTCAGTCAAATATCGCAAGAACAGGATTACAGAAATAGGACTGGAGGTGTTGACTGGACCAGACTGTCCAGGATAGGGACCAATGGTAGGCTCTCTTTGGATTCTTAAAAAACGGGCAATTTCCTGAATAGCTATTAACATCTAAAAATGGGTTCTGCCCCGTGGAATTATTATGAAGCTGATATACGTCTTCATGGCATAGTACTTAATTATTCGAACATGGACAACTTTACCGTTACCTCATATGAGAGAAATGAAATGTACAGGTTTTGGTGGGAAAAACCTGAAGACAAGATACAACTAGGAAAACCATAACGTAGACAGGAGGATAATACTAAAGTGGACCTTAGAGAAATAGAACTAGAGTGTGGACTTGATTCCTCTGGCTCAGGATACAGGCCAGTGACGGGCTCTTGTGAAGACAAAAATGAGATTTCGGATTCCATAAAATGCTGGGAATTTCTTGGGTCGCTGAATACCTGTTGGCTTGAAGAGTTGTACATATCTTCTGGTATATAACGACGTGTAGTTCGTTGAAAGTGAATTTGGTTGCTATGTACTTCACGCGAGTTTCTTGCTTCAATTATTCTTCGACCTTGAACGATGGAGGCGAGCTGTTCCTCCAGAATGTCGGTTGACTTTCAATGGATTACATGGCACTATATTTCAGAAGCCAGAACTCCTGGCAACCACCGCTGTGACATCCTCAAAAGGTTGACTTTCAACGGATTATACGATGGGGTACCCAAAAGAAACCGAACTAATTTTTTTGTGGGCAGAGCTTTTGTAGTACCGCGTTTTGCCGCTATGAGCGCATAGAGCTAATATTCCTGAGTCGATAAGCCGACTACCGTTGCTTCAGAAGGTAAGGACTAGTTTCGGCAGAGTTTATAGTGACAACTGTTTTGTGTGATCGTCGTTTTTGCAATGGCTGATTTTCGTGAACAGCGTGCAGCGGTGAAATTCTGCTTTTTGCTCGGGAAAAGTGGAACAGAAACTCTTGAAATGTTAAAAACGGCGTACAAGGACGATGCTATGGGGAAAACTCAAGTGTTTGAGTGGTTTTCCCGTTTCAAAAATGGTGAAATGTCAATTGATGACAAACCTCGTTCTGGTCGTCCTTCCACGGCCCGAACACATGAAAATGTTGAAAAAATTCGTGAAATCATCAAGGAAGATCGACGACGGACCATTGAAGAAATTGTGGAGCTGTCGGGAGTGACTTGGAGTTCAGCGGCCAGATTTGTGGCAGTCGGGTGACTGGTTTTCCCATGATGACAATGTCCCTGCTCACACAGCCCTGTCTGTACGACAATTCTTGACCAAAAATGGTATGACCCCTGTTCCTCACCCTCCATACTCACCCGACCTTGCCCCATGCGACTTTTTTTTGTTTCCTCGAATGAAAAGAGACATGAAAAGAAAAAACGACGGAGGCGCTGTCAAGCATCTCAAAAGATGAATTTAGACAATGATTTGAAAAATGGAATAAAAGACTAGACAAGTGTATTAGTGCAAGTGGAGAGTACTTTGTAGGGGATTGAAGGTTTGTGCTTAAAATTTGAATAAATAAGTTTAAAAAAAAAAAGTTCGGTTTCTTTTGGGTACCCCCTATGGCACTATTTTTCAGAAGCCAGAACTCCTGGCAACCACCGCTGCGAGAACCTCAAAAGGTTGACTTTAAATGGATTACATAAGCCAGAACACCTCATAACCACCGCTGTGAGAACCTCAAATCCCACAGCCTGTTCGCTTCTCAAAAAGGACTCATCTCCTCCGAGCTAGTTAGTCCATTTGGTTCATCACTCTTATGTCCAAACATTCTCTTCGTTTCTTGTTCTCATGCAAGATGAGCTGCAGACATAGAAAAGCAACCGAGGTGTGGACGCGCGCTGCGACGGCTGACCGTGACGAGAAAGGCAGCTTCATGCAGCCGTCACCAATGTGAACCAGGCCCAAAAGTATTCATGAATGATTCACATTCGATTTATGTTACTGAATCTCCCATAAGCTGATCCGAGAGGCCGCGTGGTCTAAGGCATGAACTGTCTTCACCCGCGCGAACGCTGGGATCATGTGTTCGAATCCCACTCGAGGCATGGATGTCTGTGTGTGTTTATTCTGTTTCCGGTCATCATATCCAAACCCCGTCTTATTAGTCACGCAAACCCCGGATACGTGACAATATGGACTGTAAATGTAAAAACAAAAAAGTAAAAGTAAAGCTATCCCTGTAACAGGCTCTGCAGGCCCATAGGGTTGTGAGACGTCGAGGCTCCCTCATTTTCTAGGCAATCGGCTCAAAGATGGCGGTAAGGTTGTCAGCCTTACGCGCCGGCCGCGCTTTACTCCCCAGGAAAATTATTTAATTAATTCCTGGTACTCATTTCTGTTAGAGTCTGAGTCGACGCCAGGGCCATAGTGCGGCTGGAAGGATTAGGTCAATTGAAAAAATCCAATGAACTCATCGGGACTTGAACCCGCGACCTTCCGGCTTCTAGCATAGTGCCTCAACCAACTACGCTACCGCTCAGAAGGATAATAATGTACTGAACATTTCCATGGGGTTTGTTAGTAAGTTTTGCATATGTAACCAAACCTGACATCCATAACCACAAGGTCGCAGCTTTGACATTTCATTTCGCATACATAATTGATGCCGGTCACGGTAGCCCAGCGGTCTAAGGCATGCACTGTCTTCGCTCGCTCGGAAGCCGGGATCGTGGGTTCGAATCCCACTCAGGGCATGGATGTTTGTGTGCGTTTTTCTGTGTTTGTGTACAGGTAGAGGCCTTGCGACGAGCTGATCACCCGCCGAAGGAGTCCTACCGAATGTGTAAGATCTAGAAAAACCGGAGTGAACGGAGAAGTTCATGGAGGTAGGCCTAGGCCCACTGGGGCTGTAGTGCCAAGGAAAAAAAGAGTACATAATTGATACTCATCCCAGCATTAGACATATAGGCAAAATTCGGTTACGTAACATTACAGCAAACATAGTGCAGAGGGGCAAGACACGAATTATCCACGAGTCAGCTAAAAAAGGCAGAGCAAAGGGGCGTGTGCCCTGGATGGCGATTCTTTCTAATTACAAGGAAATGAATGAATCTTTGATCTTGGAGGGGGCGAGCAGGTACCACACCCAAGAACTTTCGACTGTCGGAAACGCCTACGCGGTTGTTCCGAACGTCCGATATGCCCCCCTCCACCCTCCATCATGACGTTTTGCGTCCAAAGTTAGCAGTAAAGCTAGCAGTTCGACCAGTGCACACGTCTAATAACCAACAGTTATTTCCCTCACCTCCAAGAGACCACCGACAATACTAATTCTCCGTAGCACAGAGTTAACTGCACAT